GCAATGGAACACTTAGAATTCCTCAGTCTGCTCTTAATTCCTGCAGCTCGGTTCCCCTTACTGGATTTGATGGACTTCTCGCCTCTAAAGGCCTTTGTTGTTCTAAAAAGAGGTACCCAAGTTTCTGGAATGGGAAATCTGAAAATCACATTGTTTCGAATGTACTTCGCCATCTTTGCTTCCTGACACACTTGGATTTCTACTTTGAGTTCAACTCTTTGCTCACTATGGACATTCAACACAGTCTTTAACAGAAGAGGTAAAGGCTTGTGATGGTCAACTGGAAATCGCATGAGCTCAAAAGTACATGCATCTAATGGATGAAATGTAATAGCATGTGATTGTTCAAAAGTTGTGACATTGACACACTTATGAAAATCACAACGACGCAGTTTCACCCAATGATGAACCCTCTGAGGTTTTTCCTCGGATTGTAGACGAGCTTCCTCTCGTTCTCTTAGAACAATATCATTTAGAACTAACTGACATTCAGGATCACCTGTAAGAAAAGCACGAAACTTGACTAAAACTTTTGAATTCTTCTTTAGAATGGTACCATCACCAGATGATAGAACATTTGTGACATCTTCAATATCAACAAACACTTCATCATGACGGTATGTTATTCCTCTGTCTCTGTAAGATGGAAGAAGACGAACGGAGTTGTTGAAAGATTCAAGAAGTTCTCTGATGACTTTGTGACTTGGAGATGCCACTTTAATGATGGGTGTTCCTTGTGCCACATGTTCAACAGTGCCACGATGACGTAGGCTTCTAGTTTCTGAGTACTTAACATACTTTAACTTAACTGCATGAACTTTAGCTCCATGTTCAAAGGACTGCAACTTTGGTGTCGTGAACACAAAATATGCTTGTAGAGGAATCTCTCTGAAGGGTGCTGATAATTCATACTCCTCAAAAATCTGTAAGGTGGTACCCTCTAACTTTATAACCACTGGCTTCCACTCACGAGATCCAATTTTCTGTTTCTTGTCAGGGAAGCGGAGAAGCATAGACCATGAGCCACTTGTGGTCAATGACCTCTCCTCGTGCAGTGGCTCTTCGCAAACTTGGGCAGGCTGTTGAGTTTTACTAACTGGTACTTTAGATCTTGCATCAACTTGATCTTGAGCAACCACTGCCTGGTTGTTGTCAACTGGTGTTGAGTTACTGAGAGGACACACACCATGGGGAATGTTCAAATCAGCTGTGGATGGTAAACCAGCCTCTTGTAGACTACCCTCAGCGACCAACATTTTTTTCACACCAGTAAGAGGAGTTGAAGAAGAAATTGGACCTTGACCTGATATAGAATAAGGGCTTGAAGAAACAACAGCGGTAGCATCAGCCTGGAATGGATTTGAATTACTTGGCGTAGCAGGCTTGAAAGGATTGGTTGTTGATGAAGGAGGTACCGTTGTGAATGGATTTGGGCTTCTCGATGTTGAAAGACTGAATTGGCTCTTACTACTAACATCCAACTCTAAAGGGTCTAAATTCTGACCTACCGGGATGTTGGAATCACCAAACGTGACCCACGAGTGAGAAGCGGACGATGTTTGAACAACGCTTGAGTTCGATTGCAGCACTGACTTACTGTTGCTAGACTCATCGAACTGTATCCACGATTTACTCGCAAGTAAATCCAATTCGGCCGAGGTAAACGACACGGGAGGAATTACTGAAGCTGTTTGGTCTGAACTTTTTCCATTCAACTCCTTTTCTACTCGTAAAACGGTAGAGGTTGATGTATGTTTTGTGTCATTAACAGCTAAATCGCCTTTCCGAAGATCGTTTTCAACAGGACGCTTCGCCGTTTCTAAGTTACCATGTTCGTTCCCACTTACACTTGTTTTGCCCGCCTGGTTTTCTTTGGAATTCCCTTCCTCACCAAAACTGACCCATTCAGTTCCTTTTAGATGGTTTGTGATTGAGGTATGGCTGGGTCGGGGCTCCTGTGAACTGCCTGAAGACAAGGGAAGGGCGCCATTGTCGTTAGGTGAAGCTTGGTTGACAATAGGAACAGCTGATCGCATAGCGCTCGTAGATAAAGAATTCGAAGCTAAACCTTCTCCATTTTTTTTATGATTAAATGATGCAGCGTGAACCTCAAAGGTACCGGGGTCGGTTACGGTAGGCAAATTGGAGATAATATTTGTGGTTACTGCGGCTTGGGAATCAAAAGCCGCCATGTTCGGGGTTGTCCTGGGTGTGTTTATATTCGAGTTTTTCTGTTTTTCGTCGATCGATAACTCTTCAGATTTGCTTTCAACTCCATCTGTGTGCAATTCTTTATCACGACTATCCTCAAACGTGGTCCATTTTGATGAAGAAATAACCTTTTCTCCGGCAAGCGGTTCGTCGACAGCTGAAAAGCGTGATTCGCTTTCTCCGTTCAGCACAATACCATCTGCCGAGCGCTCCGATAAATCGTTTGATTGAATGAAATTTTTTTCGGTAGACAGTTCACCTGTATTCGATATTAGAGAAGATTCGCGATTACCTAACGCGTTATCTAATCCCTGATCGCTCGTTTCCAGACGATTCGAGGAATCAACTACAGGTTCAAGATTAAATTGTTCTATCGCGCTCGGTGATGTCTCCAAATGTTGTGATTTCTCATCTAAATTCTCCTTAAAGTCAGTTCCTGTGAGGCTCTTCTCACCATTAAGTGAAGAATTACCGGGTTGTCTGAGAGCTTTAGGATCGCTAATTAATGCACTGTTGTCAGAAAGATTTTCTTCCTTCACACCAGAGGAAATATCGTGACAAATATGGTTGTTAATCTTGCCATTCTCTCCCTCGAAATTCTCCCATGAAGCGCGGTTTACTGATTCAGGCGGAGCCCCACTGTTTTCGTCCATTGTGTCACGCTACATAGCAAACATCAACATCAGCTTATCATTTAAGATTCAACATCAACCATCCAGAAGAAAAACAACCAAGGAAGTGCGTGGAAAGCGCGAACTTGTTAGGAGCATGATATCGAGGCATTCAAAAAAAAAAAATTGTTTCCCCTCCCCACTCCCTGAGAGTCTAGCTGGGGACCGCACTTGAACACAATATTCTTGCTCTTTTTTTTTATTCCAGTTTTCCGCAGTCTCGAATATACTTGGAACCTTTAATTGTAGCTTTACTCCTTTTTATTTGTTTTGAGTCAAGGTCGAAGTGACTTTTTAAAGAAGAAAGGAAAACTTTAATAGAAAAATACTTTTAGTAACCCTTCAAGAACCATCCCTATCTGGGAGAGGAGCATGATCGGAGCTCCGCTCAAAGGCAAAGGGAAATCTCCGTGATGCTACTCATTTTTCCTGTAGCATCTATGGAAACTTATTCTATTCATAACTCACAACAAAATGGCTTCATGAGTTTTTTTTCTCTCTTTTTTTAGTGGTTTCGAGGAGAAAATGTCACAAGGATAATCACATGATCCTAAACTGTTTCATTGCTTCAACGATACCGCTGATGACCTGTCAATTAATTCCATTTGTTGTGCGATAGGGCAGTTAATCTTGATCCACTCAAATCAGATTGCGGTCTGTGGGGCAGTGAAATCCATGACTTTGTATTAATGTAATGTGCCGAAAGCTCGTAGAAACTTTTGGTAACACAGACAATTAGGCGCTTAACTTCGAATTTACAGTGTGGTGTATTCTGATTGTTAATACCCTGAAATCAAGGCATACCGCAAGAACTGGAGAGAATTTAGCAACACATCATTTAGCACGATTTTCCTGATGCAGATGATACATCTCCTTCAATGATCATGGATCATAAAATAAATTAGTTCATTAGCATCTTTTATCAATTCAAAATATATTTCTAACATGAAATCGAGAAAAGCTGGGTGGTTAAATTTGATTTCTTTCATTCAAACAAAGGTGACTTAAACTAATGAAAAAATTTTAAAAAAATGGTTTTCTATTTCGCTGTTTAGGTCATATTGATGGACTTCTCTTTGAGAGCAATCGACTCAAATTGAAAATATATTTATCATAAAAATTACTCAAATCAGGAAGCTAGAAAAAACAAAGAACACTCTAGATTTTTTGACAACCGGTAGTGAAATGTCGCTTGAAGTGGGAGATAAGAAAAATAGTCATCGCATCAAAACTGAACTTTCTTATAAAAAAGAAGATAAGTTAAAAAAAAAAAAAAAAAAACTTGTCATAAAAGTCATTCCAGCATCAAAATCGCTAACTATCCCTAACTTTCTTCAATAATTCAAGAAGCATCGCTAACGGTAATTTTTAAAGGTTGACAATAAACACCTGCTGAAATGAATGGTGAAAACAAATTCTGCAGATGTTTCCCAAGTCTTTTCTTTGTATCTGATCAAGATATCAATTCTCTAAACTCGTTGCTGCGTTTTTTTTAAATATTGGTTTCAAGAATTCGGCGTTTCATCGCGAACACGTTTTCCTTTTGTGTTGCACTTATTGTTTGGCTTACTGAATAAAATTATTATGATAACAAAAAGATATGTGAAGCCAGTTCTTTCGCAGTGGGGAGAGAAATCTAACTGAATACAAGTTTTTTTTTCGCCTTCCTTTTCATCTTACGAGTGTTCTTTTTCAGTTTCTGCATTTCCTGCATTAATATTTGTTACTTTTTTAAAATAATTTTCATCGGTTTCGCCCAGATTACTATGACTGTTTCTTTTAGTTATCTCGAACCTGGCCCGCGCGCGTTATGTCGGTGTCACCCTCACTCACGATGGTCCACAGGGAAGTCAGATGTATCATTATTCTCTCTATCCGTCAGGAATCATTTTCTTTACCTTTTTTCATCATCTACGCTTAGTCTAATGTCTTCTTTAGGCAGATCAGTCTCTAAAACAGAAGTCGTATATTACACGCGACACGCGCTGGTTTTCCACTCATGCCTCGCACTCACCTCCGCTGGAGACTGGAGAGCAGTCAATTTGAGCCCTACGTTAGCAAACAATCAGGTCAGCGTTAAGTTGAGGGAGAAGTAAATTGTGAGTGTAACCATCATCTAGTGTGTTTGACGTAATGATACCATAACAGAGTAACCCGAAAACCGATGAGGGTAGCCTTGCTATATTTTTCGTTGTACGTATTTTTAGATATAATCGAGGAGTGGTTTTTTTATATATTTTTTTTGTAATTCATGACTTGAGAATTTTTTTTTGTTATCATGTAGAAAAAAAGGCCAGGGCTCTTTCAAGGAATCACTTGAGAAATCGAAGTTGAAGAAGCCTGCTAGTTCGCATCACAATCGTGAATCGCAGGGTCATCGAGGGATATTAGGACATTTTTGAATTTCAGATGGGTTCGAACTGTCTCTGTTGTAGCTATTTACGGAGTTGGGGAAGGTCTTTATGCCATTTTATCCTATCACAAGAGGAAGGAGTGCGACGTAAACGCCGTTTGATTTGGGGAGTGATCGTTTTGCTTATTGTGGATGTGATTTGGGTCGGCTCAGCAGAGTTGACTGATGTAAGTAAAATCTCTCACTTTACATTTAACAGAATACACCAATCTTTAAGCATGGGGGAATAGGGAAAGGGGTGGAAGATACGTAGAGAGAATGACTTTTTACAGTCTTCAACAGCATAATAAAATTTTCCCAATGGAGTGAAACGAATCGTATTCCTACCTGTGGTTGATGTACAAAGAACAAACTGATCCTCTTAGGTGAACTGAAACAAAAATAGTCACGATAAGAAACCTGAAAAGTTCAGGTTTGGGAGGGTTTTTGAACTTGGCCTCTCTGATTCTAGCTGGGCAACAATGCCAACTGAAATATGAAGCCTGACTCCTACTTCTGTTTTATGTTGCAGTTTCTCTTAATTGCATATTACTTACAAGGATTATCCAGACTTCACCCTTTTCTAGTTTTCAAGGCAAAATGTTGGCTTGATGTGTTTGTATAAGGCGAAAGACTGGTTTGCACCTAATCATCAAATCACTCTTCTATGATGAAACAATACATATTCAACATGAGTTACCTGGAAACAATATTAAAATTTCCCATTGTTTTTACTCATAATGTGGGAAATGTGGTGGTGTAATGGTTGGTACCCTGGACTCCAGGTTGAGAGTTCAGGGTGCAAGACCTGGCCAAGTTATTGTGTTGTGTTCTTGGGCCAAACAATTTACTTCCATTGTGCCTCTTAGCTCTTCACCCAGGAGTATAAATGGGTACTGTTGAATTGTCGAAGAAGCCTGACGAAATGCTGGGGGCAACCTTGTTATAGACTGGAATCCCATATGCCATCTGAGGGGGGGAGGGGTAGTTTTATTCTCAGTCTCTTCATGCTATGTAACTAGGATAAGCTCAGGCTGAAAAAGTCGCATGGCTTGATTACAGATTTAAGCTTCTAATAATAATGAGAATTTCATTTGATTATAGTTTATCTTCAAAAGTGAAGGATTTAACAAGCCCTTTTTCACCACATATGTCAAGACGTCATCTTTTATGGTCTATCTCACTGGATTCCTTTTTTATGAGCCTTGGAGAATACATTGTAAAAACTGTAATGACACAACTAATGTAAGTTAAGATATGTATCTACCAGGGATACTAGGGATGTACTTCTTGACTCAAAATACTTGTATTTGGGTATGGTTGTCACTTAATCAAAGCAAGAATTTAGAAGAAAAAGTATTGACATGCTAAGTATAGTCTGTTAAGATGCTTTCCAGTCACAGATGGGATAAAGAGGAATTTGGGAAGAAAAAGA